TTCTCTGTAAATGAAGGGTACACACTATTGCTGAAAAACACAATCACTACTCAGCAGTCAGATGTCTGTATGTCTACAAAGACACAGATCCCTAAACAAGACCATATCTGCAGATGAAACTTTTTTTGTAAAAGCATTTTTTAAATAAAAAAACTAGCACCTCATGACTACACCATGTTATGTACGAGAAGACACAGGCGCAAGTGGAGTGTACAAAACATGGTGACATTAATTTTTAAGTAAATATAATGGGCGATATATTGCGTCACCAAAAATGATTGAGGTCATGTACATATATTGCGCGATAAGTCGATATATTGATTATTGCGACAGGCCTAAGAAGAATGCTTTATTCTGATGTAATATTATTATTAATAAATGTTGATATTGCACATTGATGTATTTGAGCATGCATCTGTTTTGAAGTCAGAACTGATCTGTGTTTTGCGTGCTGTTGTTCACATTACATGTGTTGGGTGTAATGTGGTTCCTGGGCGTCTGTGGTTTCTCGTGGATCTGCTGCGGTCTCAGTGCTGACAGCTGATCTGATAGCAGACATGACCTGCAGATACTCATCCACAGACAGATGCTCCTCGACATGCACACAAACAACCCTGAACATGCCGTTTGTGATGCTTCAAGTCTTCTGTGCGAAACCGTCTTTCGCATGTTGTTCATCAGTGATGCATGAGTCAATACATGAGGTCAAATGGTAAAATCAACATGAAATGTATTTACTTTTATAATTCATGCTCCAAGTTTAATTGTGAATGATGCATCAGTGGTGTTGTTCTAAAGAAAAACCTGTTTGTCTTCATAATCTTTCATTAAAATCCTCTCAGGGCGGGGTCTATGCTAATAGGGCAGAGAGCGTCACAAATGGGCGGGACTTTTCCTAGTATGACGTCATTATAGGGAGAAATCTGGAATCGCTCGTTTGGAGAGACTGTTTATGATTTATTGGGATTATAATAAAACGAGTGTGTGGATTTTTACCATTATAGGCTGGTTGTTTTCACACACTGTGGCCACACAACTGTTCAAACACCTTATAAAAGTGATTTTTGCATAAAAGGTCACCTTTAATGGTTGTGAGACTCAGCTCACAGAGTTTGTGAAGCGTTTGCAGTATTTCCCGAGCGTTTAGGGGTGTGTGTGTATGTTTCAGTGTGGCGTGTTGGGCGTCTCACATATGTGGCATTCTCTGGCTGGCGTGTTCAAGCGTGACACCTGACTCCAGCACCGCCGTCCTGTTTTAGACACTCAGCGTAAGCGTTTGACGCGCTGCGAGTGTGTTTGTGTGCTGTCATACAGGAGCATGTGAAGGTCACGTGTGTTTGCAGATGATAATAAATATCAAATGTGGGCCAGTATATGATTCTACAAATGCTTTCCAAGCAATTACAAATTTCATAAATAGAAGTAAAATATAAAATGATTCAATGGAGATCACTAGATTTAAACCACACTTTTGGACAACATGGACCATTTAAGCACATTACATGACAAAATTAGAGAAAAGCAGTGTTGTTTACTTATTACCTTGATTATTTATAACTAATGATGATATCTAATCTTGTTTTTCTTCCATCTCTCATATAGAGACATTGTTTATCATCTGATCAATTCCTCATGGATAAAATCAAGTCCTGGCTGTCATTGTTTTTCCTCATTTTTATGTAAAATTATCTACAATTTTCAAAACTTAATATCATATTTTATGGGTACTCATTCACTTTAATACAAAATATATAAATTTTTCATTAAAATAGTGCATTTTACTAGACACTCTGACAATTATTTGATTGAATTTATTTTTAGTTTTAGTTTTAGTTGTCATTATGTATTTTATTGTGACATTATTTTCATGACAATTAACCATGTTTTCCCACAAATTATCATTACTGTAATGCACACAGACATTGTACTTTTAATTTTTTTTAATTCTCATTATTTTCAGTGGTGATAATTCTCATTAAACATATAATTAAATGATTTTTAATTTAAATCAGAATAAATTAATTGCATTACAACTAATAATATGATAATGTATACTTACTATTTTTGAATTACAGTAATAAAAACTTAATTATTTTTAAAATACCCTTTTAAAGAATTTTTATTACAGAAATTTGAAGTTGAGGCTGAACATTTCTCAGTTGACATTTAAAAAAAAAATCATAATTCTAATTTTTCTCATTAAAAATTTTATAATTTTTTTTACCATTTTACAATAATTATAATGATTTGTTTTATTTAAATCAGAATAAATTGAATGCAGTGCAACTAATAATACCATAAAGTATATATAATTTTTATACAATAATAAAAAAAAACTTCTAAATGATTACATTTATAATTGTATGTATTTATTTATTTCAGAATAAGTAAGCAGTATTTTTTATGGTAATAAGAAAACCTTAAAAATTTCCTTTTAAAGAATTTATACTTATAATATATATAAAATTATATATTTATAATTTTTAAAGAATTATCATTAGATTCAAATGACTGTAATACAGTACCATATTAATGTAATTATAATATAAAAAAAAAAAAGTTAAAATCAGAATAAATCAGATGCAGTACAGGTAATAGTACCATAATGTGTACATGCATTTGTGCATTATGGTAATAAAAAAAAAAACTTAAAAAATCAAGTTTATTTGTATAGCGCTTGCAAATCATTGCAAAGCAGCTTTACAGAAAATTAAAGTTGCTACATTATATTTAGTAATAGCTTATCAGTGGTGACTATCTCAAGGTGATGTCCATGTGGCAGAAATGTACGGTAAAAATCAAGCAGTTAGTTAATGACATGTAATCAAACAGACGGTGAACACTATTAACAGCAATGATTATATGTTGCCATCAAACTTATAGCAAAATTTGGTCGTTGGCATCATCTTCTGGGGGGTTTGCATCATCTCTTCTCAGGTGTTTGTAAGGGCTGGATCCAGCCTGAAGCTTGTGTGATTCCTAGTTACAGAAACCGAGAAAATAACTTATTTATTTAGTCTGAACTTACTCAGTTTACATTAAAATAATTCTAAAAACAGCTTCATTGAACTGTCATTAATTTCTTTTGATTTTGTGGTGAAATGTGAGCTGACAGCTTTGATGAGATTCATGTTTATGTGTATTGCAGCAGAGCATCAGGATGCTGATGGTGTGTGTGTGTGTGTGTGTGTGTGTGTGTGTGCAGGATGCGCAGCGGGTCAGTAAAGCGGTGGGTCAGCGGGAGGCGGAGGCGGTGGTCAGCGAGGTGGGATGGATGACCTCAGTGAAGGACTGGGCCGGGGTCATGATCTCTGCTCAGACGCTCACGGGACGAGTGCTGGTGAGTCCAGCTTCATTAATCACAACTCACACGAAAACTGAACACGGTAACGTTTGTAATTACATTGATCGGGAGGAATATTTCTGAATAAACCACCAGATTTTACAATTCAGCTCATGTTCACTTCGTCGTGATATTGTCATGAAGGAAGAATAATTAAAAGATTAGTTTAGTCAGAAATGAAAATGTTTTCATCATATACTCACCGTCACATCATGCCAAACCTGAATTTCTTTTTCTGGGTGCGTAATGATGACAGAAGCTGAACTATTGCTTTAATATGATCATTGGTAAATAGTTTAATACTTTATAAGGCGTGGTAATAAATATACGATGAGGTAGATCATACCAAAATTACCATATGGCTTAGTGTGATTATTAAAAAGCAAAGGCTGTGAAAAAATAAATATATGCACTAGTTTTAATATTACAGTAAAAATAAAATGTATATTGTTATATTATTTTTTCTTAAATACTAGATTTTTTTATTTTTAGTATGCAGTAATACAGTTAATATTTTAATATTTGAACAATGTCATATTTCTTATTTTTTTGTAATTTTTATATTTAATAATAATTATAATTATAATATTAATTCTTCTTCTTCTTCTTGTTTTATTATTATTATTATTATTATTATTATTATTGATCAATTGATTTGTTACTGTTTTACATACATTGTTAATGTTTTATATGTTATTATTATTATTACATTTTATTTTTGCATTTTCATGTTATTATTATTATTATTATTATTATTATTATCTATTTATTTATTTATTTATTTATTTATTTATGTATTCTTAAAG